CCGGAGTGACTCTACCGAGAGGGGAACGCCTCCTTGGCGGTTAGGGAGGGTTCCCGACACCAATTCCTTCCTGCCGATTATTATTATTTTTGGTCTGGCTTGAGGAAGGCTAGTTCCTTTGCTTTTAGACCTAGCGGCCTCTAGAGACTGCTAAGCCGGATCACGTGCGCGTCGGTTGTTCTTGTCAACGGACAAAATGGCGGTGTTTGTACAACGTCATATATATGTACATTTACCTTACACACAGTATCGATACTACAGACTACAAAACCTCATAAAACAATAAACAGTATCTCACATGCCTCCGCCATGGCAGGACGGTCGAACAATCGGTGTGCTTTATTTCTTTTCGTATCAACACAACGTAGGAATCCCACCCGTGCGCGATCAGGCGGTGTGTACCAAATGGTAATACAAAAGGTCCTGTGAAGGTATCGAATGGACGTTATTTCAGCCGTTAGCTATAGATTGGGCAGAGAACTATTTACCTGAATTGAGCTGAGCTGCAGCAAATTGTCACACTCGAATATTACCACTCGCTACTGGCCTTTTCAAGCACTTTAACTGTTCAACACCTTTCACACGTGAACGCCTGGATAGTTATGAGGAATGGCGGGTCGTTCGTGGGCTATCTGACCTCTGTCCCTTCGCTTTTCCATCCCTCCATCCTATATCCCAATCAGAAAAATCCTTTCTTCATTTTCCCGCCTGCATCTCCTTGTAGTAGTTGCACCCACTGCAACCTATCCCCACTTTACTGTTATACAATTTAAAGTTTAAACAATTCTCTACTGACAAATTGACAATATTTTAAGGGGTTACGCCACTCTAGAATACAGAAAAATGCACCAACATCATTAATTTTTTTTTTTCTGTTTTTTAATAAAGTCACATACTAAATTAACTTATATGGGCTTATAGTACACATAATTAGGGGTGCTTACAGTATTTTTTCAAAAGGGGAAGCCATGTGTGGCAGTTGGCAGCACTGCGAGTTCCTGGCACTGCTTCCCGTGTAGTGTTACGCGGCCCACACTTTCTTCGTCGTAAATATGAACCTAGAACAAAAACGAGTGGTTTTTCTTATTTTATATAAAAATACCTAGAGAAGTACATACGGAGATGAAATTTTTTTTAATTTTACGCAAATGGGACTTGATTTTGCAAAAAATCAGTTTTTTCGTCTGAAATTTGTTTCTCAAATTGTTTACCACAATTGCATTTTTTGATCAATTGAAAAGTTCGTATGTACTTCTCTAGATAATTAATCAGAGAATGCAATCGTCAAAGTCTGTGGTCAAAGTCTAGATCAAATTGAGTCATAATTGCAGATGCTATCGTGTGGGCCGCGGAGAGAAATGTTGTATCGAAAAAAAAACGCGGTTGAAGTTTGAGGTACAGATTTAGGTGCGTGATGCAAAGTTTTGTAATTTCGTTTATAACTTTCGGAATTTTAATTTGTTCGACATGGAACCAATTGTCCCTGATTCTTGACACTTCAGAGTACCTTTTTTTGTAAAAAAAAAAAGATTTTTTGAAAATCCTAGGGTGGCGTAACCCCTTAATACATAATATTTTAATAATCCTACTAACCAACACCAAATAACTTATAAAAATGTGACAGTATATTAAGCAAATAAAAAATCATACAAATCTTGTAACAAGCGGTTACAACATCCCAAGTTTACATCGAAGAATGCCTGAAAAAGAGTGTATTTCCGTTCATCCGCAAGCATCTTTTGGCCCGATTTGGCCAGCTACCACTACTCCAAGGTGGTTCTGGAGTGGTATGCTGCCAACAAGCTCGATTTTGTCCCCATCGTCCGAATTATCCGGAATTTCGACCAATCGAAATTCCCGGGCAATTTCAAAGCAGCGACTTCGACGAAGCGGCGGAGCAGTGCAAATGCAGGCAAAATGGAATAAATGCGCTGATTCCGTGTCCGTTTCCACTGTGCGGGCGCTGATGGGCTTCATCAAGAGAAAAATTCGAGATTTCGTTCGAACTGTAGAAATGTTACCATCTAATGCTGTAACTTTGAAGTTGTAATAAAAGTACTGTAAAGCAACCATTAATGAACTTTTTAAACTTATTGAATCACTAATTACAGGTCTTTTTGTGCGTACTACTTTCCTAGTTTGCAGCAGAACATGAAAACAAGTCACATAAGAAAATCGGATTGCGACCGACCTACACCCCCCTGTGCAAACCAGTTACTAATAGCAACCCTCGTTTTGTGCGAAATTTAATGGAGGAGGCGAGTTTTGGTCTGTTAAAAAAAACCGAACACTCAAACGTGTCATTGCGATGTTGCGACACCTTCAACCAGTCAAAGCATACTGGCACGTGGTGTTGTTGCTGTTTGAACTGTAGTAAAATCTGATGTCTTGATGTCTGCACTCTTTGTCTCTTTGATGGCAACATGTAATAGAAACGGGGTGAACATCAAATCTAAGAGTCAATTTTATACATCCCCTGTAATTTTTCTTACAACAAATGTAATGTCAGTTCTTACAATGGACTGAAGTAGTCAAGCAAGTTTTTACAGAATTAATTTTTAAACCTTTACTAGATGATTTCTAAACCCAGTACATTTGGAGAAACAAAATTTATTTGAAATTTAATAAAAATATATTTAAAAAATTGCTAACGACCATATATCAGCGTACAGTTCCTAAATCGAAGCACTCCATAATGTTCGACTATTTTAAATATTTTTTTTTTAATGTTACTTAGAGCAACCGTACCAATGAGTAAATAAGGCACATTTACTAACCTCTACCATAACGCTACTTGCGTACCGGAGGTTGCTATTCAGGTGGGGGAAATAGCAATCCGCACCTTGGGAAGTAGTGAGTTCATAAATTTAGCAACGCATCAGACGGTTGCTATTTTTAATAAACGTCAAAAGTTTGTTTTGCCGGTGTGGAAAACGGTAACTTAAATAATGACTCTGATAGCAACGACCGGTGTGGAGAGGAGTGATTAAGCCAAAATAGAAACGCTGTGCGTAAGTAAAATAGTGCCGCAAATGGCAACGACTGGTACGGTTGCTCTTATGCAAATGTTAGTTTCAGTGCTCTAGGGATGATGGTGTTACAAGGTTTTAAAAAATATCTTTTCAAAATAGACGAGTGCGTCATCATTAGGAACGCGTCAAATATGGTGCTGGCATGGTATATCTAAACAGCGATGCATTTCGTGAATCTTCAGGGGTGGAAGGATGCGTGGACATACCGTATCAAACGCTCCGAGCTAGGTTATGAGTGAATGTAACAGTAATATGCAATGTAATGAATGGAATATAAAATACAGTGTAATGGAAGGATCTCACTAATTGCCTCCAATGTTAACCAAATTCCCGATTTCCATTTGACGTTTGTCAGCTGTAAGCTGTAATCTGGCACTTGAAAGTCCTACCTCAGCAACATGATCGCACTGAACGATGGGACGTTGGGGGTTTGCTGGCTTGACAGCGGCCCCAGGAACAAGCTGGGAGATATTGTAGGTCCTGCAGACCGTCGATGTACGTGCACTCGTGGTGTTCCGAATGGAAGATCTTCCGTTGCTGATGATTGGCCATTTGCGCCAGGAATTGAGCTGCTCGTGAAAATAACGTCTTGAATCTCGGCTTTGGTGGCGACCCAGAACCGGGCAATCAAATCCAGGTCCATCTATGGTAGTTGTTGACCGGATCAGCACCCATGTATAAATATAACACAGGTCATCACTGGAATTTCGAATCGCGGAAAATGTGCTCCAATTACGAGACAAACTATCTCACATAAATTATTAACTTTAATTTTTTTCAAATTTTCAAACGCGACAAAGAAAACAAACGTCACGGCCGTACGGACGCACAGCCTACTCCTCTTCTTCCCCCATTCTGGCAAAAAAAAAACTATGAGCATTTATGATGGAACTTATCAATTTTAACGTTTGAAACATACACGGCGAATGAGAACGAACCAAATTTGAGTTTAGTTCACTCATAATCGCCAAAAGTGCAGGAACTCAACGATGAGTAAAGTTTGTCTCATGTTTTCCCAGGTTTTACCAGGATTTTCCAGGGAAAAATTCCCAAATTTGAGAAAAGTAAAGATTGGATTCACTCAGTCAATTGATACTACTCCGAGACTGAATAAAAATTTCGTCAATTTCCTCATTTTCCGGCAGATTTTTTTCAGGTTTTCCACAGGAAACCATGAGACAAAATTTAATCATCGCTGAGTTCCTGCACTTTTGGCGATTATGAGTGAACTAAACTCAAATTTGGGTCGTTTTCATTCGCCGTGTATGTTTCAAACGTTAAAATTGATAAGTTCCATCATAAATGCTCATAGTTTTTTTTATTTGCTAGAATTGGGGAAGAAGAGGAGTAGTATTCGCCGTGTACACGGAGATAAAAAACTACCCAAAATTTAGTACTTTTCCTTCAATTCCGGGGTTCAGCCCAATTACCCAAATTTGAGAAATTCGCTTAAAGTAGTTTCCATTTTACACCAGCAACAAAATTACCTACTCTTTAGTATATTCTACCCAAAGTTAAGTTTAATTCGCGTAAATTTGAGAATATGCAATTTACTCAAAAAGTAACTTATTGGGCTGAACTATATCGTTGCGTTGAACCTCTCGTTCCTTTTTTGACAACATTGAAGAGTGCAAGTGAGAGGCTGAACTCAATATTAAGTAAAAAGAACTCTAATTTTGGGTAGTATTTTTTTCTCCTTGAAGGCAGTTCAATTCGAAATAAAGGTCTAGGCAGCTACTGAGAAGCAAGAGAAAAACATAATTTAACAGGACCTGAGCAACGAATCTAGAACTAGAAAATACAATCACTTCCTTCAATGCGTGGCGAAGCATACAATTTGTTACCAACCAGAAAATTTTCACCAATCACCAACAATCATTCATCACTATCATGGACTTTCAACGGAATAAATAATTGGTGGCGATTTTTTTTTGTTTCAAACTTGTTTTATTATTCAGAACTGATAAGCCTTCCGAGCAGCGCAATCATTATTCGGTTATGCTGGGAATTCAAAACCGAAAACCCCATTTGATTCCTGTGAATCACCATTGTTCACACAAATCCGATAAGGCCGTTTTCTCAACTGGAATGCGAAATGAATTTCATTCTACCTACCGTATGTATTTACAACTAATTTCAGTCTATTCAATTTCATAACCTAAAAGTAAACATATTGCATTTCTTATGTTACAAAGAAGCAAGCTTCCAATGCACACAAATTGAACAACCTAGGAACTGGAGTTTGAACTTGATTTTCTTGTCGACCTTCCACCCATCCATTCGCATCCAGTGCCGCTGCCCCCATTATAGTCGTTTCAAATCAATAAACTAAATGAGTATTCCACGCACAAATTGATCAATCTGCTGCCGGTTGAGTCGTTTCCAGCCCGTTGAGTACCCCTAATTGCACTTTATTTCTGTGGTGGTAGGGAGCGTAATCCGCATCATCTTCCCCGGCATTATCGTCATCATCTGCGTCGTATTCATCTTGACTGATGAACATGCTTCGTAACGATCCGGCAAACGGTGCCGCCTGTTCCGCACTTTCGTACGTCTCCTCGGCCGTTGACAGTTCCTCATCGTCGTACGGGCTGATGGCGGCGTACGCTGCCGAAAAGCCTTTGAACCCGACCGTATCGTCCGAACGGAACCGCACCACGATGACTTCGCTCATGGAAATTATTTCCGGCGGTAGGCGATTACCGCAGTACTTACCGTGCAGCTGTCCGTTTGTGGTATCATCGAATCCACTGGCCAGTTCCACGTAATCATACGAACACGTTTTCTCCTCTTCCAAATCGAAAGTCAGGAAGGTCAACTGGACCTTACGACCGGAATCGGCTTCGATGGTCCACTCGCAGTCGATGCCATTGTCATAAACTACGTCGCCGTACCCAACGTGTGAGTAGAAGTGGTTGATATCGTAGGTGGCCTGCAGATAGCCTCCGCAGGAGGTTGAGTGAGTAGCGAGAAAGCCTTTCCGTTGTACGCTTGCATCCGTGTTGAACACCATGTACATCTCGTTGGATGTAGAGGAAATCGGGTGCGGGAGCTTCGCTCCGCAGAATCGTCCCAAGGTGTGACTCTCCTGCGAGTCTCCATCGTAGATAGCGACGTTGTCGTACGCGCATTCCTGGTGCAACTCAACGTCGAAAATGTTGAATACCAGCTTGATCCGGTGACCTGGAGCAGTTGTAAAATGCCAGATGCAGTCCTTCTTCGCTGGGTAGTTATCCGGATAGTTCGGACTGAGGATCTGCCCGTTCGCGGTGGCGATTTCAAATTTGCATCCTCCTTCTTTGCAATCGTGGCCATTGTCGTGCAAAATATAGCCATTTCGACAGAAGCACTCATACGATCCCACCGTATTCTTACACTCGTGATGACAACCGCCATTATTCACGGAACATTCGTCTACGTCGGTGAAGAAGACCGCTGCAAAGCCGGTCTTCTGCATAGTTTTATCCGAACGGAACTCCAGCCGAAGAATGTGACTCTCCGACGTGATCACCGGAGGAAGCTTCGTACCGCAGAACGTTCCGTGTTTCTTCAATGCTTCCTCACCGATGCGCGAGTAGATCGAAACAGCATCGTAATCACACTCCGAAGGTTGATAGTGGACGTTCCCTTCCAAGTCAAAGTGTGTGAAATTCAAGGTGATCCTGTGCTGTCGCGAAGCGACAATCTCCCACGCACAGTCCTTCATCGCCGGATACTCCCTCGGGAAGGACGGTGACACAAGACTTCCGGTCCGTTGTGTGAGAATCCCACCACAAGCCTTCTCGCAGGACTTACGATCGCTGTGCAGTTCGTAGCCAATTTGACAACTGCACTCGTATCCACCGAGCGTATTGATACAGTCGTGCTCGCAGTTGTGATCCATCCTTTCGCATTCGTCTACTTCCCGGACCAGAGTCGCCAAGAACCCAGCTTTCTGCACCGACCCGTCCGAAACAAACTTGACGTACATGGTGTTCCCCGACGATCGCATATCCGGAGGAAGTTTATACCCACAGAATATGCCAATCTCCCTGGACTCCGGTGAATCACCGTCACGAATCTCGACGTAGTCATACGCGCAACTATCATGGTTCTCCACCTCAAACGACTGAAACTTGATCGCTACTTGGTAGTCCTTCGGCACTGTAATTTTCCATACACATTCCTTGTTCGGGAGGTAATCCGCCGGGTAGTTGGGTGATTCCAGTCGACCTCCGTTCTCCAGGTTGATGTCACCACCACAAATCGCTTCGTAGTTTGCGGCAAAGCCTCGCATACTGGCCTGCCGGAAGCTGGTTACGTAATTCAACAGCATGCGACTTCCGGTGGACACGATCAGATTGCTGTTACGGCCCGATCCGCAGAATCTCCCCAGCAAAGGAGACTTGTGCCAGTACCCGTCTCGGATCTCCAGGTAGTCCGTTCGGCAGTTTTCCGATTTGAAGATATCCAGATCGGTGATGTTCAGCACGATCTGCTCCCCGTGGGTTGCCGTTATACGCCACTCGCACCGTTCCGGATCGGCAGGAGGTATCTTCGAGTGGTAGCTGGGTGAAGTGAACGACCCGGAGTGATCTTGGAATGTTCGACCACATTTGGCACATTTATACAGCAGGTTGGCCTGAATGATGTCCCCTTCACTCAAGCGCAACCGTTGACCAATCTCCGGTCGCTTTTGTCCTGGAAGGTCTACGGGTAGGATCGTGTCTAAGTACGTTCCCTTGGAGAAGGTGTTTCTTGCGTAGTGCATGATTGAGTAGTAGTCATACGGTTGACCCAGAGAATTGACCTCATCGTCAGTGAGTTTGTTGAAGTTGTACTCCTGTCCGATCATGATGTTATGCTTCTCGATCACAACGTGATCCTCGCGATCCGGGCGTGTATGTTCATGCCAAAATCCCACCACGTGGCCCAGCTCATGAACCACGATTCCAAACTTGTCACAGTTCTTACCGATCGATATCGCTTGAGGTCCATTGCCTCGCTTGCCCACGAACGAGCAACATCCACAGGGACGTTCGGTAAATACGATAAAGTTTGGGTGAACCTCCGGATCACGTTCAACAAATTTGATGCACGTGTAGTTCTCCCAATGTCGCATGGCTTGTTTGAATAGAGCTTTGTGCAAACCGCTGAAATTGCCATCGATCTCGTAGGGGATCACTCCAAAGTCCCAAATTCGCTCCTTTTTTGCCGTAGCTGCCCGCGTAGATCGGTGCAGCACCCGATCGCCTTGTTTACCTCTCGATCGTCGCACCTTGCGGGGTGTATTTGCTTTCCTGTGCTTTAAACTCCTTTTCCTACCTATTCCACTCGATCTACGATCATTGCTCTGTTGCCCTATTTTCCTAGAAACTGATCTAACATTTGTGGCAATCACCTCCCTTGTTTTGCCACGATTATCATCCTTTATTCGACGTTTGTTGTGTCGCTTCCTGGATTTTACATTTTTGTTTTCATTCATCTTCTGCAATTGTCGCACGAGCTCACTACCACTTCTCTTATCGCTAGGATGCCCTCTCAACCGAACAGGTGCTACTACCGTGGTAAGCCCTTCTGCCTCTACCTGCAGCCCTTCTTCGATCTCTTTCTTCAACCTCTCCTCCTCCACCTCCTCCTGCCGCTGCTTCAGTCTTTGTTTATGAAACTCACTCTCATAGTTCACATTGGGCAGTGCAATATCACCCATGAATCCGCTCGACTTGCACGGATCCATGTCTATATCGTTGGATATCCCTGTTGGGAAGGTACTCTGAAGTAGCTCGTCAACTGTGTAAGTTCGTTGAACGCCCTCCACCTTGATCGCTACCGCTATCACCACCAGCATCAGCACAAGCATTCTAATCCCTTCCAGGCGCCTCTGCCTCCGCCAGGAACAACGAACCATCAAGGACGACATCGTGCAAGATTACGCCCTACGACAAGGAACACCTTTCTCGTGACCTCCTCGTACGAACCTCGATTACTCGAATGCGCCTGGTTTTAATTCGACTCACTAGCACTGATACTGATACTGCTAATGCTGCTCACATCTTACGTCTCGCGCTCAGTACGACCGATGATAGGCCCTGGAGGCAAGCGAAAGAGAAGGAGAAAACGAAAACATAAACAGATGAGCGAGCACTTCGATCTCCTGAACTCAAGCTGATCATCTTCTTGATAAAGAAACGCACTTTTTTCCAGCACGCACACACTCACCCGAACAACGAAAACAGTTCTGAGAATCCTTCCCGTCTGACCCAGCTCCTTTCAGCTTGCTGATAGGGGATTTGCAACACTTATCACACAAAATCCGAACGCGATAGCAGACTCTTCTTACTTATCGCTTCGTTTGCAAGTGCGTTGATAAACCAAAAACGATCGAGCTGCGGACGATCGCGACCGGTTTCGTAAACTATCCACTCACGACTGACCAACCGAGCAGCGAGACCAACGCTCAGATGGCGACGAGCGTGTTTGCTGGACAAACAAACAGCGATGATCGTCTTCGCGTGATTTCCAGCATGTGGTGGTGTGTTATACAGTGTTGGTCTCTTTAAATTGATGATTATTTTCGTAACGTGTAGGTATGTATATGAAAGAGAGAGAACTTGTATGCAACATTCATTTCACAGACACATGGACGAGGCGAACCACCTGTGTCCATTTGAAAGCACTCTTGGTGATGCGATTTGATGGGAGGAACCGGTGATCCTCGTGCTTTTCCTGGGTAGTAGTATGTGTTTGGGACAATGGGACAATGTTGTACCTGATGTTGAAGAATGCATTAGGTCCTAAGTAATATTGACAGATTCGCTTCGTCTGCTTTCTCTTTGCATCCTCCTTGTTCAGCTTGATTTAATGATGAACATCGTATTTTTTAATTCAATGGATTATCTCATTTGTTTCAATACCTAACCATATAATGTCTTGGACAAAGTTGTTGTAGTGGGTTAGACCAACAAGCCTGTGCCATTGGATTCAGGTTTAATTGGGAACTATGCCGCTAGAGGCGCTTCACTTTTATATTACTTATGACGGGCGTTATAATATATGGAACGTTGGACCCTTGTTAGAAAATTTCGCGATCCTGGCCATACAGAAAGTTGCTGTCTTCAGCGAAGTTGTTTAAGTGATCAAGTCCTTTTGGATGGTGGCCATATTAGTTCAGAACTTTCTCACTACGCAGCGCTAGTGTGCAAGTGAACTTCCTGTATAAGCTGTATCTCGAGAACCAATAGAAGGCAATATAGAAGGTTACTGTGTTCAGCAAAGTTGTTCAGGTGACTCAGTCCTTGCGGATGGTGCTCATGTTATTTCAAAACTCTCACACTACGCGGCGTCACGACAAAATTTAATTGAATATTATAAAGGAATGAATTTCTTGGGGTACCAACGTAACCAAGCGTATTAAAATAAAAATCATAATAGATCGATCTACCAAAGATCAATTCTTTGGTTCCGATTTAATCAATGGATCGATTTTAGAGCCGAAAATAAGATCGATCCGTCAAGATCGATCTTTCTCTGAAGAACTTCTCGTCGGAACTTCAGAGATCTTGAATGAAGTGCTGTGAACTTCTCGGAACTTCTCTTCGGAAAATGTCTGAACTACTCGCCGGAAGTTCTCTGATACTCTTGTCGGAAATTCTCTGAGCTTCTCGTCGCATGATTACATATCATCAGAAGTTCGCTGAACTGCTCCTCGGAAGATCTCAACTACTCGCATAAAGTTCTCTAAACTTCTAGTCGGAAATTGCTTTAACTTAGGGAACTTTGATTGTGAACTTCAGGGAAGTTCTGTGAACTTTGGGGATTTTTTTAAGTACTCTTAACTTCAGAGCAGGGCTGTTAACTTTTCGTTGAAAGTTCTGTGAACATCAGTTCAGTTCAGAGAACTTCCCTTGGAGTTCAGAGAATTTCGCCTGAACTTCAAAGAGCTTTGATTGTAGTTCAGAGAACATCCCTTGAAGTTATCAGATCATTCATAAATTGTATAGGAATTCTTAAATGCTCCTTAGGAGTAGTTCTGTGATTTTCAATGAAGTATTGTAAACTCTAAAGAAGTTCAACGCACTTCGTAGTTGTTTTGTAAACTTCAGAGAAACTATTCGACCGTCAAAAATGTCTGAGAACTTCTCCGAATTTTGCGAACTTCACGTTTAATCTTCAGTGATCTTAAAATATCATGCCTAAGGTTGAGGTGACATCCCAACACACGATTTTAGCTACATACTAGCTTCCCAATTAACCAAAAGTTCCACATTTAACGATTAAAATCACTTCCAAGTTCCATAAAGTTCAAATAAAGTTCCGACAGAACTTTCAAGTTCCATAAAGTTCAAATAAAGTTCCGACAGAACTGTCAAGCCACATGAAGCAATCTGCACAAGTCTTTATTAGTAACAAAATTTAATGTGCGTAAATATGAAATGATCAATGGCCCGAATAAATCATAATTCTTATATTTATGCAGTGCATGAACATTCTATCCAAACATAAAAAAATGAAGAGAAATTTTCTAGATCCTAACCCGTGTATTCAGCATGCGATCTACGAACGCTAGCCACTGCGCCACAAGTGTGTTGGAATACCATGCGGGCAAACACCAATTTAAAATTCATCAAGGTGTTGTGTTTCGTATTCAAGTTAGTCAGCTGGCACTGAAAACTCCAATAGCAGGCGGGACAACAGCTCACTTGAATATATCTCAGATGACGTAGCGGTTCGTGTTGGGGCTCTCACGCAGAAGGACTGGGTTTAATTCTTCAAACAGCTCCAATTCTACTACTAATGCTGATAAATCAATATACATTAATACCTGCCTTTAGAAAAAACCTTTTTTTTTTTTAATTTATTTTCTAAAAGTTCCATCCAAGTTCCACCAGAAGCTGCTTAGAATGCTCTTCAGTTAGGGTACCGGAACTTTCAAGTTCTTATAACGACTTGAAAATGAGGCTGCTTAGAATTCTATAGATCACCTTCAACCAAGCTGCTTAAGCCACAAATAGCCTTTTATCAGAACTTTTGGTTACTTGGGTTATACAGACAAAAAGTATCTGAATAAGCCATTTTTTGGTTGTATAGGCTAGTCTGCTGCTAAAATTGTTAGTTAGGATGTTACTTCACCACGACAGCAAGCCACTTAATATCTCACACAACTCAGAATACAGGAAATTGGTAAGAGAAAGTTTGTGAAACTACTCTGAAGAAGGGCAGACTTCATCAGAATGCAAAGGACTTTACTTAGGGTAGCAGAGTCAAGTTCGTAGAACTTCTCTGAAGTTATCTGATCTTCTATGAAGTATGCAGAACACTTTTGAGATGTTTAGTGTAATTCAGAGAACTCTACTGAAGCTATTTGAGGCTTGTAGCTCATCTGAAATCTGTCAAATTGGTCTGGTTATTGCAAATTGGTGAATAATGAGAAGCTAGACAATTTGACGAAATCTATACGAAATGGATTGAACGATTGAACTTAAAGAAAGTAGGTTTTGCTACTCGATATGCAAAGGAAATTTGTTGAATAGTTGGGGAAGTTGGGAAAGTATAAGCTATGGGTGAATATGCAGATATTGGAAAATACCATGCACCGGTGGTTTGCGACGATGAATAGCTTGGAGACGATGGGGAGTCGTTAGGTGGTATCGGACTTGTTAGTGATTGACTTAAGAGTGAGTGTTTTGGACTGGTTGGCAAATCGCTAGGACTCGTTGCAAAGTACGCAGAGAGGCGATACTTGACAATGTAAGCCTGTTAGATAAAAGGTGGTCGTGTTAAGGGGTATTCAACTCTGCACACCGTTATCTGTGCCAAGAGTTTTAGCTGTGGGCCAAAGTGTGTCAACTTCGACCGTTCCACAAGATTCTGACTCGATGACAATTTGAATTACTGATTCCTTGCAGGTGTGCAGAAACGAAGTCGTAGCCAGATCGATGGAGGAAGAAAAGGTCACCAACATCATGTGAAATTCTATCGATCTAAAGTAAACAAAGAACTCGAACGGATGAACAGATGATCGACGGTCATCTAATCGACACGTTGAGTACCTAGTGCGGACTCAGAGCCATCCCTGCAAGAATTTCCAGAAATTTGCATTGCACAATTATTACTACTGCTAGCTTGTCCATAATTTGTTCAAAAGTCTAGTGTAGATGTTACTAGTAGTTCAGATTGCAAATATATTCATATATTTAAAGCGTGATTCAGATATGCTTTGCATCTGCAGGCAGCACCCTGTGGTTGTAGTTGGTTAATCCCATAGGCTCTTGCGAGGATCTTGCTAAACAGCAAATTGCTTTAGGGTCGTCAAGCGGGAACCACTGAGTGCGCCGAAACTCACTGTGCAGCGAGTCAAATTTCCAAATTCAGTAAGGTCTTACAGTTGAGCGATCGGAAGGCCACACATCACACCGGGGCCTCTGCGATGAACAAGTTGCATTAGTGAGGTGACAAAAATCACGTCGTGTGAGGTGACTCTCCGTGCAAATCAAATTATTGCGTGCAAAAGGTGATTATTGTCACTGCACTAGTGACAGAGAGTCACACGATTCACAGAATAGGCCTGAATGATAAGAAAGAATGTCTAAAGAAAATCTCAGCAGAAATCGAGAAAAATTCCATATTGGAAGATCCCCGGCAAATCCTGTTGTAGGGTATTGACAGTTTTTCTTGAACCGATGGCCACCACCTTGGATTCCAAAATATTGTCTGACATCGATTTCTAGCCTCTACACGTCATTCCCTATCAAGAAATACCCATATTGTAGTGTATTTGACAGTTTTTCTTGACCCAATGGTCGCCATCTTGGATTCCAAAATGACGTCTGGCAATGGTATCCGGCCTCTATACATCGTTCCTTTTCCGAAAATACCCATATTGCGGAATTTTATATTTTCTTGAACTTATGGCCTCCATCTTGGATTTGAAAATGACGTCTGGCATCGATTTCCGGCCTCTACACGTCGTCCCCTTTCCGGAAATACCCGTATTGTAGGGTATTTGACTGTTTTTCTTGAACCGATGGCCGCCATCTTGGATTCCTAAATGGCGTCTGGCATCGATTTCCAGCCTCTACACGTCGTCTCCTTTCCAAAAATATCTATATTGTAGCGTATTTAACAGTTTTTCTCGAACCGATGGCCGTCATCTCTGATTCCAAAATGGCGTTTGACATCGATTTCCAGCCTCTACACGTCATCTCTTTTTCGGTTTCTGTTCTCACGTTGCACAGCAATATCTTATATGGACAAGCTTTCGAGACATAACATATTAACTTCTATACAATTTTCATACTGCCGTACTCTAACGGAACTATCCACCTACCCTCTTCTAAAAAGATCATTCTCTAGCTAATAAATCATCACACTAAAGCTTCATATTAGCATTTCCAACCAACTCTGATATTAAGGAAGTTCATATGCACACTAGCGCCGCGTAGTGTGAGAGTTCTGAAATACCATGAGCACCATCCGAAAGGACTTAGTCACCTGAACCCCTTTGCTGAAGACAGTAACCTTCTATATGGCCAGGTTCTCGAGATACAGCTTATACAGGAAGTTCACTTGTACGCTAGTGACGCATAGTGAGAGAGTTTTGAACTATTATGGCCACCATCCAAAAGGACATGATCACCTGAAAAACTTTGCTGAAGACAGTAACCTTCTATATGGCCAGCATGTTGAGATACAGCTTATACAGGAAGCTCGTGTGAACACTAGCGCTGCGTAGTGAAAGAGTTCTGAACCACCCAAAAGGACTTGGTCACCTGAACAACTTCGCTCAAGACAGCAACTTTCTGTATGGCCAGGATCACGAAATATTCTAACAAGGGTCCAACGTTCCATATATTATAACGCCCGTCAAGTGAAGCACCTCTAGCGGCATAGTTCCCAACTTAACCTGAATCCAATCCAATACACCTGATTGTCCTGGCAAACGACACGAACGAGGTGAAAGCGGAAAAGGCGAAGAAATCGGAGAAGCGTACGAAGAAAGACCGCAGAAGCAAGTCCTTGCTTGGTTTCAAGGATTCATGATTCGCAGCTGGAGTATATCCAAGGGAAGCAATACCCCAAGGATATCTGGGACGCCTTGTATCGAGTATTCGAGCACCGTAGCATTGCAAGCCACATGCATTTGAAGCGGGAGATGCTGCAACTGTGGTTCTAAGGCGGAAAACTACAACAACATTTTCTCCACTTTGATAAGCTGGTTCGTGAATATCGTTCAACTGGCTGTTCTGGAGGATTTGGACGTGGTTTGCCACATCCGGTCTTCGTATTCCGGAATTGTAACGGCACTCGAGACGATGCCCGAGGAGAATTTATTGCTCGAGTTTGTGAAGTGCAGATTGCTGGATGAAGAAACCAAGCGGCTAGGTATGGAATTGGTTCCATCGCAGAGCGGAGAAGCAGCTTTTTCCGGATCAGATGTAGTCGAGCAGAAGAAGCTGATTTGTTTTCACTGCAAGAGGGAAGGGCATAAGCAGATCGATTGCTTCGATCGGAAAAAAGCATGTAAGTCAGAAGAAGCAGCAAAAGTCTAAAGCCTACGTTGCCGAAGCGGACGACGGAATAGCAGTTTGTCTTGGAGAAACCGGTCGAGATTGCAATAGCAAAGGACGGTGAGACGATAGTGGCGAAACATACTGGCACTGTGAAAGTGATTTCGGTCGTTGACGGGAAACAGATTGATTTCGGTTTTCGGTGCTGAAGGTGGAAAAAGCCGGAATGCGTGTGGTGTTCGAGTCCGGGAAAGCGAAAGTCTATCGAGGATCCGAAGTCGTCGCGAGTGCGTCTCGTCGCGAAAAGTTGTACATACTTGATTTCTACTCGGTTGGGCACAATAACGGTGAAGCCTTGTTGTCGTGTGAGGTCAAATTCGGAAGAGTTCGGAACTGTTGCACCTCTGGTTCGGCCATCTGAACGAGAACTGTCTAAAGCAGATGGTTCAGTATGGCATGGTATCGGGAATGAACATTACCATACCCAAGTAACAACTTTGGTTTTATAAGGGTTCTGCAGACTATGATTTAGACTTGTAGAATGCTATAAATCCTCCATAAAGCTTGCAATGTTACTTGGGTATGGGGTGTTTACATCTGCACAATGCCGTGAGCGAACGGGAGAAACCGCACGCTCGTTCGGGCAATGTTGGAGGATTCAGGTGTCGGAAAAGAGATTCTGGGGGTAAGCTGTGTTGACAGCGGCCTACCTGACTAACAGATATCCCACTAGTTCGCTGAGCATGAAGCAAACCCCGTTCGAGCGGTGGTAGTCCGGGAAACCGAATGTATCCAAGGTAAGAGTTTTTGGTAGCAAGGTTTTCGTTCATGTTCTGGATGAACTGCGACGGAAGCTAGACGCGAAAGCCTGGAGAGGCATTTTGCTGGGATATCGCCAGAATGGGTACCGAGTTTGGAATCCCGTGAAGAAGCAGATTGTAGTTGCACGCGATGTCGATTTCGTTGAAGGCAACCTGGTGGAGTTTATCCGCGTTTCTGCAGGCGGTGATGAAGATGACGAAGTCAGTGTTCAATCAGCGGACGCGGAAAAGGGTACATCCGACGGGAATTTCGAATGTTTCGAGGAAGAGGAAGAGTCTGAGGAACAAGTTACCGAGTCTGAGCCAGAGGAAGCTGAGAGCGAGCTACATGGTAGACCTCAGCGGAACCGCTGTGACCCTGCGTGGCATCAGGATTTCGAAATGGATTGCACATCAACTATTTACTTTGATCAAATTCCAGGGACAATCGCTGAGCTGCAGGAGTGTGATCACTGGAAGGATTGGAAAGCTGCAATAGAAGACGAGCTGAATTCGCTGAAGCGTAACAGCACTTGGACTCTTGTTGAGAAACCGGAAAGACGTTCGGTGATCTCGTGCAAATGGGTATTCCGTGTAAAGCACGGTGAATCTAGCGGATGCACGAAGTACAAAGCAAGACTGGTCGCTTGAGGTTTTAGCCAAAAACGAGGTTTTGATTATGGTGAGACCTACTCTCCTGTTGCGAAGATGGATACTTTGCAAACGGTTTTTGAACGGCGAGCTAAAGGAGGAAATCTTCATGGCTCAACCAGACGGGTTTGAGCAGGGGAGTGGACTTGTTTGGAGGTTGAACCGGGCACTTTATGGCCTGAAACAAGCGTTGCGGACATGGAATGAAAAGTTTCATCGTTCGTCGAGCAGTTGCTTTTCGTTCGTAGTGCCAACGATCAATGCCTCTACACATTTGGATCTGGAGTCCCTCACTGCAGCTTCTACAGATGGTAAAGAAAAGATTGTCGGAGCAGTTTGAAGAGACGGATGCTGGTGAAGTCAAGCAGTTCTTAGGCATGATGATCGACAGCTGGCCGTGCTGAAGATAAGTCAACGGGAGTATATGGAGGGTTTACTCAAGCGTTTCGGGATGAGCGAATTCAAGTCGATTGAACATCGCTTGAAGTTGAGTAAGGGAGATGAGAAACAGAGGACAGACAAGCCGTAACCGAAGCCCGTTGGCTGTTTGATTTATGCTTCACTCACTACTAGACCGAATCTGTCGGCGGTCATCGACTATTTCAGCTAATTCCAATCATGTCCCAACTGGAACTATTTGAAGCAAATATTGCGGTACGTCCAAGGAACGCTGGATGTTGGTTCAGTTTACCGGAAGCAGCCAAACGCACAGTTATTGGAAGTCTCCTCCGATGCAGATTGGGCGAACAATAATCTAGACCTGCGATCTGTAACGGGATGTGTTTGTAAGGTGTACGGATGCACCGTGAGCTGACTGACACGCAAGCAGCAAACGGTCGCCTTATCGTCCACCGAAGCAGAACTGGCAGCGTTATGTACAGCCACGTGTCAGTTCGTATGGATGAAGAGAATGCTTGGAGATCTTGGATGTTCAATCGAAAGCCCCATACCATTCACATCGCTGAGGAGTATCAAGTTCGTTCTTCGGACCAAGACCAAGACGCGGACATCATGACGAAGGGTCTACCGGTTACCGTCTTCAGAGGACTCCGCACCAGGTTGGGACTGGAGACTACTGTGGTTAAACAGGGGGTGTTAAGTGTGTAATCACAGTACCCTAATTGCCCCTATTTTTGATACGCCCCTGTGAGTTATTCTACTGCGCCAATCAAGAAGTATAAACAAAAAGTAAAACACGTTTTCAATAAAAGTTCAATTCGTTTTTCCTTAATTCGCTAGTTTTCTCGGCTTATTTCCTCCTCGTTTATCCAAAACCACTTCAGACTTTTCCCCCAGGCTGTGTTCCATTTGGTGAATTTTCACTTAAATTTGACTGATGGAAAATTTTCAAATAAACCTGCTTTTCCAGCAGACTTATTTCTGACAGACAAGCAATAAGTTTTGACAGACACCTTCTAGAAAATTGGTCGATCAACAACAGAGGGATTTATGAACATCTTTTCGAAGTGTCAAATTTAAGTGAAAATTTCCAAATGGAACACAGCCTTAGAACCCAATGAGTGCTCTTCTGAATTGGATCCCGATCACAACTAGCATGTGTTGGTAATTGTTTACTCAATATTGGTTGATAAGATTTATCAACCCCGGTAGTGGTGTAACACCAGTGTTGTATTCCTGGGTGGGTGTTGTTTACTCTCGAACATTGATTATTAATGACTTCCATGCTCAAATTTCATGATTTCGAAAAACGGGAACAATTTGTCGAGGCCGGAAGTCAAAACCGAACCTCGTTAGTATGGACAATTCAAGCATTTGGATTGCGACACTTCCCGAATTATTTCTTAGCAGTTCCTCAAACCCCCGTTCAATATCATTAAAAAATGCATTGATTCAAACGACCAAACTATAACCATTTCCACAATTTCCTCCATCTCTCCTTTTTCCAGGAACGAAATTCCTGTGCTCCGAAGTGATTGCCCCGATCCGGTCCGAGGTCGATGACATCTCGCTGTTCATCATCAACTTCGAGGACCTGACGAACCCGACCAGCCCGGACCCCATCGAGCCGGTGAAGTTGAGTAAATGTAAGCACTGTACATTCTTATTCCGGTTTCTTACCCCTTGCAGACTCACCACCGCAGTTTTCTTTCAGTCGACCGCGCTAGAGCGAGCTTTCGACAATCGTTTCGCATCGGACACATCGCTCTGCGGGATCGGGGTCTCCGGTTGGCCGGATACCTCACGCCCCCATCCGATGCCACTCAGGAGGAGGAGGAAGTGGGCATCAACAAGAGTGCGATTGAGAGGTATAATTTCATGTATGATTGGATTTTTTGGATCTTGACTTATGGTCAGTCTGAATGTGTGAATTAACGGTTAAACTTTCCCGCAAACATTAGGGGGTTTTGCAGTGACAGGGTTAGCCAAACGACGGTGCTCAAGGTGGAGACGAACATCTGGGCGCCGATGTCGACGCCGGCACTGACGAGGACGAAGGAACTGGAAGCGCTTCATACCGATGGCGATACGCTCAGTGGACCAGGAGAAATTGTGATAACTGCCCCGGAGGTTCGTTTCACCCATTTTTTAAAAGAGAATTCGTTTTCTAACAATCGAATCCCCCTTTTTAGGTGGCCAAAGTGGAAGCGACAACGATCGAGCTTCCGACACCAATCGTCGATTCCAAACCAGAGTTTCAGCAAACCAAAAGTTTAGACTTTGAGATACAATCAAAACGTAGGTATAGTCTGGCAACACTGGCCGCTACGCAATTAAGCGAAATAATGCATTACCCCCCCATGCAAAGACACACAGTTACTCGATTTGGTTTTTGACAGTTCACTTTTGAATTTGATTTCAACTAACGAACTTTTTTGGTTCCGTTTTCCCCATGCCTTACAAGCTGATTTCAAGAGACACATATTTTGCACCGTTGCGTGATTTTTTGAATGATTTTCGTGAACTTTGTTTTTCGATCTATTTTGGCATTGATTTTCAAAAGCAATCAAATACTAAACACTCATTCTACAATCAATCGAAGAACAGAACAACAGACATTAATTAGGGCTGGGTGCCAGTTTGCGTCAATCCAATATGCCATGATCCATACCGGCGACGGAAGCTAGCACCCGTCCGAAGAAATACAAACATATGCAAATATTTGTTGAATAGCGAGTGAAACTAAAAAACAAACTGACAAGCTTTTCGTATGTATATTCATAGCGCTGCAATTTGGCAAGCAATCGCCTTACGAATGTAATAAACATTTTATTTAAAACCTCAATTTGTTGATTTCCGCTGTGTACTTTTGGAGTCTGTTCTTCCCCGTTTGGAGTTTTCTTCCCCGTTCGTTTTGTGATTATTAGTTTTACTCTTTGGTTTTTTGAACTTGTTACATTTTATACCTCACAGTTGATCAATCGTGTAGTGTTGCTGTTGTTGACGTTTCGTGTGCCAGCTGATGATTGTGTTTGATTAAAAATGAAAAATAAAAAAAAGGATAATTGCAATTTGTGATGGTAATTCGCTGCCCTGTTGTTTGTGGCATGTGGCGTGCTGTTTTTGAACTGTTGAATATCATTGTTCTTTGTGAAATTGTGATCGTTGCGTGCTTATCTGTTTGCACATGTTTGTACTAGCGCTTTGTTTCAACAAGTTGTATAATTTGATTCATTTTCCGTTTCATTGTCGATCAACGTTGTGATCTAATCGAGTGTTGTGGATTGAACTGCAGTCCCGCAAATAGTCTTGTTGGCTATGAGAGGGTATGGCATATTCTACATCTAATATATTTTAGTGTTATCATAGTGCCTTCTAGAGAGGTATAAAGATAATTATAAGAGAAGAGCAGATTAAAAATAAACTGCTATCCAGCTTTCCATGCTCGGTAATGGCGACCTGTTTGTATGAATAAATGTATCCTTCACTGTGCTTTTTGACACTAACTGGAGGGCGTATGTTGTTCCATTTTTATTTCGTTCCTGGGAGAGGGAAAATGAGGGGTCAAATTCCGAACATGCAGATAGTGTAAAAAAGCACAGTGAAGGATACATTTATTCATACAAACAGGCCGCCATTACCGAACATGGAAAGCTGGATGCCTAGGTGGTTTCTAGCAACACTGCCAAGGCAGTCAAGATAGTCGCTGTTCGGTTGGCTCTGGCTTTGACAGTTCGTTATGCTCAAAACCAGCCAGTCTCCTCTCTTATACTAGACCCTCTCTAGTGCCTTCAACACCGACCAATGGAAAGTTTACTGTATGTTGACTAACTTCACAGTGTTGATAAACAAAAATCATATTGCCAATTCAGAGAAAAATCATCATTTGGCTTCAGATTATCAGCTTTAATCCAGCTTTCCATGCTCGTTAATGGCGGCCTGTTTGTATGAATAAATGTATCCTTCACTGTGATTTTTGACACTATCTGGATGTTCGGATTTTTACCCCTCTTTTTCTCTCTCTCAGGAACAGAAGAAAATGGAACAACATACGCCCTCCAGTTAGTTTCAAAAAGCACAGTGAAGCATACATTTATTCATACAAACAGGCCGCCATTACCGAGCATGGAAAGCTGGATAGCATGCTGTGGCTGTCAGTTGCGATGAAATGATTTCCCTAAAACGGAAATATTTAACATTCAGGCTGTGTTCCATTTGGTGAATTTTCACTTAAATTTGACAGATGGAAAATTTTCAAATAAACCTGTTATTCCAGCAGATTTATTTCTGACAGAAAAGGAATCAATTTTGACCAAAACCTTCTCGAAAATCGGCCAATCGACAACAGAGGGATTTTCGAACATCCTAATTAATTTTCGAAATGGCAAATTTAAGTGAAAATTCACCAAATGGAACACATTCTCAGAATCATAAGAGCCTAGATGCAATGCTAATATAAATTTTTACTCACTGTATTGGAATGAAAAAATCGAAAAATTGGTTCACTTAACTGTAATAATGTAAAGAGAAAATCGATAAAGATAATCGATCATCGTAGTGAGGCTCTAATGATCCTGAACCCTTTTCTACCCTCAAATTAGGTAAACTAACCAATCTTCACAGTTATAGACCTTTTGACGTTTTAAGCGTCTTTCTCTATCTAGCACACATGGATGAATGGACGGTTTGTTTTCCCCACTAATCTGTTTCCCTCTTGATCGCACTCGTTCGATTTAAATGGATCAGCAGTGTGCACTGATCAAACGTCAAAAAGCTCCATACCAGCTACCTGTATGAGTTGGAGTTTTGACATGATGTCAACTTTTGCTTTGATTCACTCATAGATGGATGCTCAGTAGACTGATGCAAAATTTAAAATTGTTGCTCCACAGTGCTCAATCGGTTCCAAATCAGGTCCTTATTAACGTCCCACAATTAAAGCGCATTTTATAAGACACTGACTTGGCACAAATCATTTGATATTTACATGGAAATTACTATAGGAAATCCAAACTAGTTGTTCATTGTCTTCTAACATTTTGCCATATAAGGTAATCCAAGAGACGTTTCTCAGTGGAACTGACAGCTAGAAATCTAGAGTGTGTGAGTGATCTGGTCATAATGGTGCATAGTGTAAACATAAGCAAAGCAGAAATTCATATGAGAATAAACAGGGACGATAAGAGAAGCGCGAAGACTGAACCCAAAAGTTCCAATCGAACCGTCAAACGTGGTTATAATTAAGTTTGCGTATGAAAACTGCAATTGTAAAGCACAAGTAAAATCATTTGAGATTTTTTAATGTTTTCCCTCAATGTCAAAAAGCAAATATTTATGTAAAATTATCAATTGTTATTCACCAGATGCATTTTCGTTATGTTCTCACGAAATGTGCACTCCAGTGCAACGAAAAACATATACACAGGCCCTGTAACGTTGATCAAGGCGTTTCCAGTGTAATCTGTCAAGATAGTGAATTTGGTAAAAGACTTCAAAGGGGATTTCTCGATTACTTTTTAAAGGGACGTATCTGCTTTTGTAAACAATGCATTTGCTCGTCGATTGAGCGTAACTGGTAGCTCACCCACGCATACTGACACCACCGTCAGGTAGTGCATGCGTGGGTGAGCTACCAGTTAAGCTAAATCGACGAGCAAATACATTGTTTACAAAAGCAGATACGTCCATTCGAAAAAAAAATCGAGATTTCATTCATACACGGTAGGAAGCCGAACCACAGATTGCATAATTTTGCGCAACGCTCTACAAAATGTCCCCTCCGATGCTGAGTACTGTGAACTCAGCCGATTTTATTTTTCAAGTGAGCTAGAAAACATCTTGAAAATCTTGTTTTGTTGAAACAGCTCACGAAATTGTATATACATGCTGTCAAATGAACTCTTGGCTCCTCCTCCTCTGCTCCAAAAATAACGTATACATGGTGATGGGAGTGCACCTGCCCACAAAGCTCACATGACTCTTATAAATTTTCATTACATTCTTGTTTCAGCAACCCAGTTTTGGCATTATTAATATCAAATAAAAACACTTTTTCGAGCATCACGCATACATTATCCGCCTACTAAGGTTGATGTTTCGACAGTTTCATAATTATAATTCTTTTTTTTTTTTTTTTTAATTATAGTCACTTTAACGCTCTTGGGTCATTCGTGACTTGTCCGGGGGTGAGATTTGAACTCGTGACTTTGGCGTGAGAGGTATGGATGCTAACCACTACGCCGGGGTCTTAATTTGTTTTCAGTAGGTGGCAACACCTTTACTTGTGGTTCAAACAGTAACTACCTACGTGACTTCTGAGCTCTTTTGAATGTTTGGCTCCCGTTTGACAGTTTGACTCGGCTCCCAGATGACAAGCATTTTGAGTTAGTTCGCAGTACTCAGCTCCAATGAAGTATATTTGGTTTCACTTAGTGTTGTCAAATACTTCGTTTGAATACCGATACTACCGAAATGATTAAAAATATATTCGCTCAAATTAAAAGTCACTCAAAGTAAACACCAAATTGCGGGTTGCCAAACCATGCAGACCAAATGACTTTGTTGGCTGAGCAACCAGATTTTATTATATTCTCTCCTTGCGTCTCTTATAAAACATGTGATCTGTTAAAAGTTCTTGGTAAATAATAAAGTCAGCTGATCGCAACTGTCTCGTGGGCAGCCTTATTGCACTGTAAAAATATCTATAGCAATTCTTATGGAAAATTTTCTCAGCTACAACTTTGCAGAAGATCGTTTTTCAGCAAACGCGAAATTAAATAGACAATAATTGTTTAAGAGATTGATAATCTTATGGTAGGATCATGCAGCTGTTTTGTGGGCAACACTGTTTTCTGCAGTGTAACATAGTAGCCATGATTTTTGTGCTCTATTCTACGCGCTAGAAACACCAATGTTGCCTGCTGAACATAAGACATTAGTGACTTGAATCATCAAACTTTTGCTCTTTACATTTGATCGTTGTAGTTGTAGCTGAGAACATTTTCTAGAAGCACAGTTACCAATTATAAAAGCAGAGATTGGAATGGTTAATTTTGAGATAGAAATCAATAAAAAAAAATTGTTTTCTCATAGTAATTTCCACATAAAATTCATAAGGTTTGTGCCAAGTCAGTTTATTGATATCAAGCGTAACATTTGATAATGGCACAAAAGCATTTGTAAGCAAAAATTAGAGATGAACTAGCCTAAGGCTAAAAATCTCTTTAATAAAGAATTAAAAAAAAAAAAAATTGTAAGCAAACTTTCTAAGGCCCTTTACTCGCTAACCAAAGTACGCCCACGCAAACCAATACCACTTTCGGAAAGGTGAGAGTTGCCCCTTTTCAATGATGTTGTAGGTTTGCGTGAGCGTACTTCGGTTCGCGTGTAAAGGGCCTTAAAAAGTGTGTTTACAAAAGCTTTTGTGCCGTTATCAAATGATGCGCGTGATATATGAGTTCAAATTTTGGGAGGCGAAATTTCAGGATCCGTTTGAGCACCGTGAAGTTAAATTTCAAATTTTGCATCAGTCTAATGCTCAGGCTCAGTGTTCCAAAATCTTTCTTTTGATCACCGGCCGATTTTCGCGAAGGTGATTGTCAAAATTGATTCCTTGTCTGCCAGAAATGTCGACAGTGAACATGCATAAAAGCGATTCTCTTCATCAGTTTTCTCTTTGCATTACTACAGCTAAGCGAAACAATTTTCAAGAATTTGTTCAATGCAGTACTATAACAGCACCAGCTCCAGCAAACGCACCGAGAAACGTTAATCCAAGCGAGTTATTAACACCTGGGACGGGACTTGACAATCGGGTA